TGAGAAGCACACTGCTTCAGTTCCCAGTAACTTGCAGCTTTGATTCCCTATAGGGCCAGCACAGAACAGGTACAGCAGTACACAGAGGGACCCCCTGGAGCAGGCAGCAAGAGGAATTTGCCCCAGCAGTGGTGGCCACTTGTGCCAAAGGGTGCTCACCCCGTGCCCCAAGGGCTGCTGCAGCCCCACCACGCTGCCCTGCCTGCCCCAGGATGTTGTGTTCAGTGTGAAAAGGCATCCCCAGCCATGCCAGAGCAAGGGGAGCCCATCAGCCATGTGGCTGGGGGCTGGACTTGCCTGTTCTGCCCATTCCTCTCGTGGGAACTTTGGCTCTGAAAGACACAGATGCAGTCCCCACAGTTTTGGTGCTTCAATGGGCTCTGAAACTCACATTTCCCTCAGAGCTCCTGTTTGGAAGTGCAGAACAATTTTAGATTGTTCTGATAATGAAAAACAGGACCCTGAAGGTCCCATTGCATGCTTGGCACAGCAGGAACCAGGTTTGATGGAGCTGTTGAGTTGCCTGTGTGACAAATTCTGCTCCAGTTTCCAGCTCTGAAACCCAGGTCATGTAGTCAGGACATGATCTGGCAGGTATAGTATGCCCAAAAGAGAATATTTTTTTTTTTTTAGCTGGATCAGTTCAGCTGGATCTGACTCACCAGGCAGGCATGCAAGCACTTGTGTTGGCACTGTGGAGGTGGCAGCACAGAGAGAAGGAACAAACTGCCAGAGGGCATGGGACCACAGAAAATGTACATCAGCCCATGTTCTCATGCCTTGGCATTGTTCACTTTTTTTGGAAAAATACTTTCCTATTCATTCCCACCTTTACACTGCTCTCTAGAAGGCAAGTGACATATTCCTTTTTGAGATTGCAGTCTACACTTTCCTGGTCAGCAGAAGGGTTTAGGCCTCAGCAGGGGCCAGCTGATGCAGCAGCTGAGATTAGATCTCAAATAACTATTTTAAAACCTTGTGTAATCAGCAAGAAAGGGCAAAGAGCTAAAGCATGAGCATAGAGCAGCACTGCATTTGAATACCCCCTGTCCTTACTTACAACAGCCAGTAGCTTCATCATGTCTGCAACAATAAAACAAAGCATTTGCAGGGTCTGGTGTTATTTTGAATGAGTTTTAAAAGAAACAAAATTATGGACTTCAAATCAGGGCTAAATGTTTTGGATGAGAGAACCCAACATTTCTCAGTTTATATATCTGTTTAGGAGGTCAGCTGTTGGTTCCTGTATTTTCCTTTCTAGCACCAGATGCAACCACTTGCATTGGTATTGAGACAACTCAGCCTTTAACTAAGCTAAAGTAGATCCTCAGCTTTCCCAGGGGAAAATGAGATGAATTGTTTACCTGCATATATCATTTGCATGGAAAAGTATCTGGGCTAAATGACTAATTTATTGGTGGACATTGTGGCCTTCTTTGAGTTCTTTAATGACACTGCTGTTAAGCTAGTCTTCCTGCAATCTATCCGTAAAGAGCAGTAGATGTGTAGGTTTTTATTGTATATACACATCCACATTTCAGTCAGCTTCAGGATCCTGAGGGAGGAACTCCAAAGGTGAAAGTGGAAGCTTTTCTTAAACACCAGCTTTCAGTCTAAGGTCCAACTTTCAGGCGAGACACAATTCACACTCAGCACAGGCAGGAAGCAGCCAGGTCCCTTTCCAGGTGCCTTTAGGGGCACTAATCCTGGGGTACAACAATTTCCACTGGGCTCCCTGCCAAGGAACCCAGCAACTGCTGCCACCGAGGGAGTAAAGCAGGAGTTGAATATGGAGCTTTCCTCCCCCTGTGACAGTGCCCTCTCAGCATCTCCCGGGTTGTAAGGGGCTGCAGCCCAGAAGGCTTTGCTCTTTTTTAATCTACTCCTAGGCTAGCTATGAAGCAGCAAATCCTCTCTCTCTGCCTCCTTGTCCAGATCAGCATTTTGCATTCCCTGGGTGCCCTGAACATGCTGCAGCAGGCAGTTCAGCAACACCAGTGGCCACATGCAGAGAGATTGTCTCTCCTTCTGCCAGAGCTATTGGGTTTTGCAAGTGCCATAATAAGAATAAATAAAACCCCTCAAATGAATGGGAAAAGATAAGGAGGCAGATAGCTGTAATTTTCATGACTGATAGTATTACTCAATTTAGACATTAACATTCTAGCTAAAGCTTTAAACCTTGGGTTTAGTGAGCATGCCTGTTACTAATTTTGCCTACTCAGACTGCATTGGTAGCAGGTAGGTGTATAATTTTAAAATTACTTTGAATTATATTGCAAGTTAAGCACTGCAGAGACAATGATTATAATTTTTTTCCTCCAGGCAGCTGATGAAAGGTCTTACAGGATTTATTTCTACCCTTCTGAAGGTTTGGGAGGAGTGTTTACTGGATGGATCCATAGCCTGTTTAACTTCCCTTATTCCTCTATTAAAACGATACCCCTAATCCTTGTTCCACAACTAAGGAATGACACACAGCAGATCCCCATCTCTGGTTCATTACACTGCAAAGTCTTAAATCCTTTCTCTTCCGAGTTTCAACCACAGAAGATTATTCTTCTCCCCTCTTGACGTGGTTTCTGCTGTCAGCCAGGTCACAGCAGCCACCTTTCTGCAGGGAGCAGACAGCGGGGGGAAGTCCCCAGAGACCCTCGCAGCATTACACACACAGCAGCTCCACGAACAGCCTGGCGCAAACAAGGACCAAGGAGTTTCCAGCTCCCTTTCCTTATCCCTCTCTTCAGCTAGATGGAAAGTGCAGTATCCCTGTTGTGCTGAGCCCTGGAAGGACTTACAATGAATTCCATGCGGAAAAAGAAGAAATGGTTCACGTAACAATGTTAGGACTTGATCCATCCAGATACAGCTTCAAATGGCAGGAGAGGCTTCCCTTTCATGGAAACAGTGGTTGTGACATTGCTTCCCATAATAATATTAATAAATATTAATTAATATCACGAAAAAACAACTAAAAAAAAAGTAGAGATACTACTTTATTTTGGGGAAAGATTTTGAATGTGTGTGGCCTTTTTCACCATGCATATACAGGTGAGAAGGAAAGGAAGCAGTATCAAAACAGCACCAGTGCAAGCAGCCAGGAAGCAACTCTGTCAGCATTACTGAGAGCAGCTTCATTCATGATGTTCTCCACCTCATCTGCACACATATAGATAAATAAATTTCTTCACTCACATGACAAGTCCATTGAACTCCTGCCAGACTTTACGATTCTGCATTGACCCACCAAAATTCAAAATAGATTTTCTTGGTGGTAAAAACCTCCAATGAATATAGAGGCTGTTATTTATCCTGTCCCATTTTTGCTTTAATGTCAGTGAAAATGCAAATATACTGTAGTATAAAATTGCATTTTCCAAATGCACACTGATAGTTCAAAAACCGGGGATAAGATATAGTTTCTGCTGAAGTCAATAAAAATTCTGAGAGACTTTATTGAGACAGAATTCAATACCTTAAAATGCTTTAGCATTAAAGTGAGTGTTGCTCTAAATACGAAAGATGATTTATTGGAAAGCAATAGCAGGCCATGTCATACCTTGTCATTAAGATTACCTTGGGTTCATTATCACTTTTTCTCCTAACTGAACTTCAAAGATCAGTATTAGATGGCTGCTCATATTAAAGGAGTTCTGTTAAAGGCAATTGTGCTTCATATTTTGTACTGCTATTCAAAGAAAATCCTTTATATCAATTACCTCAAAAGACCAATGGACAAAAACAGAATGGAGGGAGACACATATTATAAACTGTCAGATACACTCCCTACTCTATGCTTTCTTAAACACAGGAAAAATTATTTTTTCTCTTCTATTATAAACTGTTCCCTAATTTTCCAACAAGCCAAAGCTGTACTTTCATTGAAGACAAAACATTTAAAAAACCCAACCCAATAAACCCAACAAGCTGAAGATGTTTTATTGATGCATGTGCATGATGACATTGTGACTTCTTAAAACAGCTGTCAGAAAAGCAGAAACAATAAGAGATGTGAAGGGCTGAAACGATGACAGCACATTTGCCCGCATGCTTCCTGAGCTGGGATAGTGTGGGAAAGCAGTTGCTTGCAAAGTTGTCACTATTTCCTCTTGTGTTGTTCAGAAGAGACTTATAAATACAGCCAGATGTTACTGTCAAGAGGAGCTGTTGGTTTGTGACAGCATAAGCCTTGTTTTCCAATGACCATGGAAATACAGAGGGAATTGTCTCCTGGCTGCTTTCAAAGTGACAGCTTTTAGAAGAAGTATTCAGATTTAATTTAAATGTAGTATGCTGTTAAAGATCAAATTAAGAGCTAATCTTTTATTTCTAGTTGCTTTTGCTTTGCCAAGACTTTCTCAATTCACCACTGACCCAATTTTTAAAAATAAAATTATTGTGACACAACCATGATCCCAAGCCTTGGCAGTGTGCAGTTCATGTTTGGGCTTGATGATCCTAGAGGTCTTTTCCAACCTAAATGATTCCTGATTCTGTGACATGCTCACTTTATCCCCTAAGGATGATTTCAAACCACAGATGTGAAGAAGGAAAATTGCCCAAGTAACGTGAATCTGAGATTAAGTCATATGGAAAACTGATCCTCTGAAATAGGCAGGGACCTTTCTACAGCATTTAGTGGGCTTTTTCAACCCTTCCTTTCATATGTGGATGAGCAGCAGTGGGAGCACTCTAATGTGATTCAGAGGCAGTGGCACGGCTGAGCCTGCACAGCTTCAATGAATCCCTCCTGGGCCACTTCATCATCCACTCCCTACACCCATCAACTCTGTCCCCACTGGCAGAGGCCAAAACTAGAATAACTCTTTGTTTATCTCCAATCTTTGATTACATTTGCAACCCCCAATAACTCATTTAGGTCACCACTGCTGCTGGCAGCACTATTTTAATTTGTACTCCTTTCTTCTGTTCTTTTGTGTTTTGTTTTTCAGAAGTACAGGGGTTTGTCTAAATGTGACATCTTTGAGCTAACATTAATCTGAGGAAGGCAAAGGGAATTTATTGCATTTTGGCTAATACTGAGGAAAGGGGAAATTGCCTACATAATGGAACAGGAGATGAAGTTTGAACTGTCATTTCTCTTGTCTCCATAGTACTGGATACACAAATATAAAATATATGATCTACCTCCTCCTTCAAACACATCAACGTACAATTAAAACCCACAAAGCTTGACAACCTGTTGTCAAGTTGTTTAAGCAGTTGTTTCAGAATCTGACAGACAAACTTATAAACAAAACGTAGAGCACCATCGTGGGATGAGGCAGCATCATCATGTGGCTTCCTCAGTTATCTCAGAATTTGGAGAACAAAAAAGCAGAGGAATACTTTTTCTCCATGAATAAATAACAGTTTAATTACATTATAGAAATAAAATATGATATGGTAGGAATACACTGGAAATCTTACAGAAATACTATTCTGCTACTGGTAAGTAAATGGTCAAAGCTACTTTTCATGACAATCTGAACAGTACTTGTGTACAAACTATTATACAGGTTGCTAATGAAAAATATTGCAACATTTGCAAGAATGTTACCAGCTCAAACAAACATCTAATGATACAATATTCTTCTAAGAGGAAGTAATAATGTTAGATTTACAGACAATAAAGAGTTATGTTCTCCACTTCGAAACACTGGAAATAAAAATCTCAGGTAATCTGATTTCTTTACCTCATATTATCACAAGGAAAAATTCTCCTTTCACTGTGAAACAGCATCCCAAGAGACCCTGTAAACAGTTTATTCAAAGGTAGTATTTGAGATGTCACAGCAACTTCAACAATTTTCCTAGTCCACAATTACAGACTTTTTAGGCCACTGCTTGTACAGATGACTTTTTTTTTTTAAATTACTTATTTACATACATTCAGCCCAATAACAGCAGGTAGAATGCGCTGTCAATCTCACAACAGACACACTAAAATTTTCATCGAAAGGCCAGTGCAAGATGTGGATAGTGATTGCACAGCACTGAGGAGATTGTATCATACAAATATACAATTAGACTGTCGAGAATCTAACTCTGCACACGTGTGACATAGATGGTCTTCTCGGTAGATACGTGACACTTGGAGTTGGTACACACACACACACGTAACTGCAACTAGAGGTGGTGGGTGGATGATGATGATGATGATGGGTCTTCTCGGTAGATACGTGACACTTGGAGTTGGTACACACACACACACGTAACTGCAACTAGAGGTGGTGGGTGGATGATGATGATGATGATGATGATGATGATTACGATGGTGTGGGTGGCTGTGGAACACAGTATCATTTGGCTGTGCTATCACTAAGTGAAGGTAGCCAACTGCAAATTAGGAATACCTAAAGCTGAAGTATAAGTACAGCTTATCTCAGAACAGCAGCAGATTTTTCTAATGAAAGAATAGTTCTATTTACTGTGCAACATGTAAGGAAATTGTTGCCAACTCTTTAATAAATGGTTCTAAGTGAACCGATGCACTTCCCAGAGCTTTAGAAAAACTCATTATGCAAATGAAGATACTGATGACAGACGATAACATTTCACAGGATGCTATTTCTTATTATATCAGTAAGCACCAAGTTAAGTGCCAAGACAGCCCCATTGTCCCATGATTTATCGTAAAATTTAGAACTTGAATGCACAACAAAGTTCCACAAAGTTTGCATTTAATTCACAAGAAGACAGTTTCAAAAATGGCTCTTAAAATACCCTTAACATTTCAAATGGGCTTTCCCCCCACTCCTCCAAGAGGACTGCTTTAGGATGGACTAGACCTAGACATAAGAAACATCTTTCAGAAGCACTTGATATGCTCAGGGAATCCTCAGCAATCCACTGGTTTTGGCTGACTGCAGTGGGCCCCTTGAGCGCACAGTAGTGCCCTGTCCCATCACACAGGCAAGCTGCAGGGTAGGTGGGTGGAGGAGGAAAGTACCCCTGTCTCTCCCAGCTGTTGCTCAGCACCTCACCTGGTCCAATCTTATCTTTAAGAGATGCCATCCCTCACCAAGCCTGAACTTGGAGCCACGTGCACCCCCACAGAGCCACTGGCTGAAAGGAGCTGGGTGTTTGTTCAGCCACATGCTCTGGCCTGCACTAAGGGAGGCAGAGACCCAGGGCTGTTGCCCCCTCTCTCTCCCTACTTAAGCACAAGGATGGGTGGCAGGGCAGTCTGGACTTGGCTCCACTTGCCCTGTGCCACAGAGAAAGTCACCCCTGCTGCAGTAAGTGCCAGGCAGCTAAAGGACTAAGCTGCATTTTCAGCTATTTTGGTAGAAATCAGACAGCAGGATGAAGAAACAGTCTGAAAAACCATGGCAGCAGTGTAGAGGATCCCAGACCTTATGACTCAGAACAGAACCACAGAATATCCATGCTGCAAAGGCTATCTGGTAGCATGTTCCTTGTGACAGTCCCAGCTGCAGAAACTGTCCCATCACGGAACAGAGTCACTATTTTCCTTCAGTAACTTCCTCCTGGTAGTGTCAAACCTTGTCAGTGGTTTCAGAGAGACACACCTCAATGCAAGCTATCAGATTTGAATGAACTCACTATTTTAAAACAAACTACAATTTACTCCTGGCTTTCTCAGTCTTCAGGAACACCATCAGCTGCAGCATTTGTCAAAGCAGGCTCATTCCATGCTCTTTACCTCTCGTTTCCCTTTATTCTCAAGTGCAACTGAAAGGTTGCTTCCTCTAGCACATGGATACACGCTTCGGCGTGGAACAAGATGTTCTTAATACGGTACTTTCACCAGTAATCAATTGGAAGAACTCAATTTTAGAAACAGAATTCGTGTGCAAAGCGTGCAACAAGAAATACAGTTACATTTGGTCATAGTGTCCTATCATAGCTATGCTACCATGATTCACACTGGTTAGAATACTTAAACACACACACACACACGCACACACACGTACACACACAGAGATATTTATTTATATACACACTCACACAATAAGAAAATGTCTAAGTCTGACAATATTTCCTTCCTCTTTTAGTGAAGACGAGAGTTTGGCATCTCAGGCTCTGAATCTGCTTAGACCTGGGAAACAGGAATGTGACACACCTCAAGAACACATTGACTGCACAGTGATAACATCGCACATTGAGTCTGACACATGCTGTCTTCAGTGGTCCAACACCAGCACATGGCTTAAAACCAGATGCCCATTAAAGGAGCCAAATATCCAGAACCTTTGCTTTTCAGTACTCGTGTTCAGGCAACGCCCAAGAGCAGGGCAGTAGTCTGTGCAACCAAAAATAATGCTTCTGTATAAACGCAGTGGTATTTAAAAGTCTGAACCAGTGCACTCCTTTCTCACATTCCTCCTCCATTCCTCTGTTGCTGTTAGTCTCATATGCATATGAAAGTAAAGGGTAGTGGGAAATAATTTTAGCAGAAGAACACAAAGCCTCTCCTCTAAGTCCACAGAAGACCACTAAAAGTGTAAAATTTCCAAAATGTCTCATAGGAATTCTTCAAATACAATAAGTGTTTTCAATGGGGTTTACATATCACGTTTCACGTTATTTCCACGGAATTCTACCTTATCACTTTGTTTAATCAGACAAATATCAATAACACATAATAAAACAGCACACAATTCACGGGACACGACACGTTTTACAAAACCTCTAAACTCAGCACTGCTGCTTTTGGAAAAATTCAGAAACTCCTATTACTTAGAGACATGAAATACATTTCACATTGAAATGAACAGCATGATTACAAGGCTTTTTTTTCTTATTTGATGGTATTGGTTTAGGACGTTTTATTTTTCTATTAGGTTTCACAATTCTTCTTCACACCCCCAAAGGAATGATTGCTAATCTGGTATTTTCTCTGTCCTCTTTCAGGAAACATTATTATTCAGTAAACACCTTTTGAGAAAAACTTGTGAAAATTTAGCTAGAATCCCTAATTGTAAAACCTGATGAACTGGCTGATGGTAATGCTCTTAACACAATCATCGCTCAGTTTACAATGACAAACCAAAAAATATTACAGGAGTGTACAAACACGTTAAGCCATGGGTTTGGTTTTCTTTGTTGTTGATTTTTTAAATTTTTATTTTTTTTAAACTTAAACTCCTTTTTTTCACAACGCTAAGAAGTCTCTGACTTACAACGCTTCAGCAGTTGTGTCTGTGGAGACAGACATGGTAACTTTGGCAATCTTAACTGTGCTCTTAATGCAGCTCTCGGCAGCCCTGTGCACGTTCCCCGCGTTGTTGGCGTGTTTGTGCTGGCAGTCAGACTCCATGCTGTTATCCAGGGGCTGCGCTGTCCCTTCGCAGGTGGGGAACATGCTGCGGAAGGCGTGTCGCAAGTCCTTGCTCCTCAGAGCGTAGATGATGGGATTCACTGTTGAATTCAGCAAACAGAGCATGCTACAGAAGGCAAAGATAGTCTTGATGAGCTTGTTCATTTTCCCAAAGACATCGTACACCATGATGGCGAGGAGAGGGCCCCAGCATATGATTAAAACAACTAGGATAAGGACCAAGGTTTTGGCTAACCTGATGTCCATACGAGTTTGATCAGGCCTAGTGATCTGAACCTTACCATCCTCCGTCGACTGGATGATTATGCTTTTCTGTGTGCCTCGCTGCAGCATGCGAACAGCGTGGCTGTGAGCCTTCCACAGAATGTACATGTAGGCATAGACAATGAACAACAAGAGGACGCTGGTCACCCCGATCCAGAACATCAGGTACGTCTCATCGATGAGAGGGAATATGTCCGAACAAACAGAGTTGAGCTTTTTGCAGTTCCAGCCGAGCAGAGGAAGAACGGCTATTACGATAGCGATGGTCCACATCACACAAAATGCTACGACAGCCTTTGGTCGGGTAACAATCCTTTTATAAGCTAGCGGCCTGTGTATAGAGATGTACCGGTCTATTGCCGTGAGGAAAAGGCTACCTACGGAGGCGGTGAAAGAGGCTGTAACTCCACCCAGTTTGAACAAGAAGACGTTGGGGCTATCCTTCCGGTGGAAAACATGGAAATCCACAAAACTGTAGACAAAAATCACGCTGCCCAGGAGGTCGGCCACAGCCAGGCTGCCGATGAAATGGTAGGAGGGTCTGCACCGGAGGCTTCGGGAGTGGAGAATGACGCACAGGACGAGGAGGTTCTCTAGGACTGTGAAGGTGCCCAGGGTGAGCGACAGCACGGCGATGGCCAGCTGCTGGCTGGGGTTCAGGATCATAAAACACTCCATATCCATAAAGTTCTCCCCGCACTGTATATTCTCCTCATTATCCTTAAAAGTGGACAGGGACTTGTTGTAAAACTCTGTGATGTTGACCTGCTCTGAGGGAATAATGCTCAACAGGGAATCATCTCCTCCAGTCATTTTTTCCTGGAAAGGATCACCCCTGAAGGAAGAAAGGGGGAACTTTTGGGGGTAGTACCCCATCTTGGATGCCATGTCACCTTTCATGTCTTCGTACTGGATATCGTTGGAGCCCACGTAAAGGAGATCTGTCGTGATTGTTCGGAAGGTTGTATCTGCGAGGCCATCTAGAATTGACTTCATAACCCCAGTCTTGTTGGTTTCAGAGATACTTGGGGGATGGAAAAATGCATCGGAGGAAGTCCTATATGAGGAAAAGATCAGACTTCATTAACATAAACAGGGAGACAAACTCCACGGACAACTTAGCTGAACTGTGTCAAACAAAATCAACCCTTCTCTGGTATTCAGTGCAGATCTAACTTTGACATTGTGGGAAATCAGGGTGGGTTAAGCACTTTGAGAGAAATCACCTAGATTTCACTAAAACTGAATTACACTAAGAAGCAACATGAAAAACAGAGGCACAGGGAATTGAGTGTTTCACAGGAAAGAAATTTTCATTTCTCATCAAAACCTTGTGAGCTGCTCCACCAGAAAGATATTTTTCTCAGCTCCTGATTGCAAAGCACCTTGCAGACCAATATTCCTTGGGCTTGCTTCATTTAGATAATACCAAGAGCCACTGCAGGAGCAGCACCAAACTGAGTCACCACCTTCTTTGTTTTTCTTTCAAAAGGCACAGAGGGTTTTGAAAAATTGACAACAGAGAGGCGATAGGGACAGAGCCACGCACTCCAGATTTCACAGTTCGCCCAGTATGCCTCTATATTCTTATTATCCTGCAATGGCAATCTGAGGTCTATTAACATCCTGAACTTGCTACTGCAAACTTATTAGCAAGGTATTTGATCAATAAATATATAGTTTCATTACACTCCTATACAAAGATTACTGTATTCCTTCCTTCTGGTAAGCAAACTAAGGTACTGGGATGTTTGTGCAATATGAGGGAGGTGGGTTACCCAGCTGTTACCCAGCTCTGTCCACAGTTTCAGGAAAGGTGACAGCCGTGCTATGTCACTGAATCAGTGATCTGCTCTGTACACAGCAGAAGTCTCAGTAAGGACGGTTCAAGTTTGCCTAGATAAACATGGCACCAAGTTTAAGCCGTGGCCAAAATTCCAGGCAAAAGGAACCAGGAGCTACTGCTTCTGTGAGAAGCATTGTAATGTGATTTGTACCCCTGGGGACACCCTCAAAAACATTCTGTCCCCTCCAAAACTGGGGGGACCCAGCAGAAGGTACCCAAGTAGCCAGTGGTCTCAGATCTGTCAAGTACAGCCTTTGCTCATGGATGGTGACTAGTTGTGGGGAACAACTCCTGGTCAGGGTTCCCTTGGGAGAGGACCCTATCAGCAACTGAGCATGCATCGACATATAAGACAAATCTTACAGCTCTTGTTATGCTGTACTCCTTTATATTACTTTGCTGATAGAAAATGCCTTGAATATGGATTGAACATCTGCTTTAGGGCCCCCTTCCACCACCTCAATGGATGAGAGTGATCTGAATACAAATAAGAGCCAGAATCACTCTTTCTGTGTGCTACAAATATTCTACATCTGCTATGGGACATCTCGATGATTAATCAGCAACAGGAGCAAACCAAGCTTCTTCTTGCTTTTAGGGTGGAGGAAATTGTTGCACTCAAGAAATCCTAGATGCCAGTACATAGGCTTGTACTGACCTAACCTGTTCACTTTACACAACTGACAATAAATGCTCAGAAAGGCTGCAAGAGTTTATTTAGTACAAAATCAGAGTACTGATCACCTCAACTCCTAAAGAGAAGACATGCACAGCAGGTACCACTGCTCTCTTTTCCCATGATAACTATAGCAAAGAAGAATGCCTCTCTACAACAATAGCAGTACTCAAAAATATGTGAAATCATGAGCATTTCCAAAGAAGCAGAGATCACTTGGCTGATGATATATTTATACTGCCCTTATAGCATATGAACACCCAAGACTTTTTCCATAGCTCTTTCAAGTTTTGCCTTTTATTAAGCAGGCCTGGACATTGAGTATTAAAGGGAATATATGAACTTAGACCTTCAGAAGACACTGCAACTCCAATGCTGCAAGAAAGTATGAATACAAACAACCCTTACTGGGATAGACACAACACACAAAATATACTGGCTGAGTCAGCTTTTGCAGACAGTTTGCTCAGCAAATAATTATTAGACAGACAGTATTAGGGAATTTAATTTTGAGGGCGTGGGCAGTGAAGGAGGGAAATGTCACTGAAGCATACATTAAAAATGAACAGCAATCATCTAATATGGAAGGTACTTTTCTGTTTTATAGCTGTTCCTAGAGAATTTGCAGATGTTACACGCTGCACAGATGACTCCGCTGATAAATCTGCTTTGGGTGAAGCCCGGCAACTTTAAGCTTGGCATTGTAACACCATTTTACAACCAGAAGTGAAGAACGTGTTATTAATTTGAAAACTACCCAAAAATATTAAATAAAAAAGTAGTTCTATAAATATGTAATGATTGCTGTGGTATCCTCTACTATTCAAGCTTTTGACAGAAGGGAACCATTTTAATGAGTAAAGCCACAGCCCCATGTCGAGAAGATTATGTCTGAGGAAAGCTTCATAAATTGTATTCAACTGAGCACTTCTGCTAGACAGACAAACAAATTGTTATGAGGTAGCTGATCCCTGCTGGAGTCATGTCAAGCACAGACTTTCTCAGAATTAGGTGCCATGCAACCCGTACCTTTATTTGAAATACAAATGAAAGAACACGGATTCTTGTGTGCTCTTTTGAAGGTGGCAGTGAGTTATGTGACAATATCACTATGCATGCATATGCTATGCTAACAACATGGTTAATGGGATCAGGAGAGGCAAGTCTTACTTTGAATGTCAATGATTTTTTTTTTCCTCTGTATTTTTACATTGAGATTATTACAGTAATTTTCACCTTATTGTCTCTGCAAAGAGAGCTTTCTTTCAGAGTACTTGGGAGTTCATTAGTAGTGTAGTTTAGGCTTTGGGGGATGCTGCTAACATTAATTTTGGTTTTGTTTGCTGCTGGGAATATCCTAATTGGAAATTTCTAGCAGTATGTGTGCATGCACCTATTCAAGCTGCAGTTGATTTTTATTAAAGTTGCAGTAAAACAACCATTTGCCTGATCTGGAATTACACTTTACAGGAAATTCATTTATTTTAATTTAGATACTAGTTTATCCCAGTATAAGCTCACTACTAAAATGCACTGAAGAGATCAGTGATGTTTTCCATTGCTGTCTGGCGAAAACAAGACTGGATCTCTGGCACTGCAGATATCAGGACACAGGTGCTGCACCATTTGACATAGAAAGAAAAGACAGTGACAGAAGCAATGCCAGTGTCACACACATTTTGGCTCTGAGCATTTCTGTCCAAACCTGGAGTGGTGAGCAGGCAGCACCCGTGAAAGCAGACACTCCACACCATGCAGCCACACTGCTCTTTGCAGCTGGCTTCAACGCAACCCAAACCTGTTCTGCCTAAGAGCCATGACCATCTCCACAGGAAATATTCCAGGAGCCCCTCTGGCTTCTCAGAGCTTCCACAGGGAAGAAGTGTCCTCCACACAGGTTCATCCTCTCTCCCTGGGGCTGGAGTGACAGCTGTGTGCTGCAGAAAGCTCCCCTATGGGCAGACTGAAAGTAAGGGAGAGCCTCCCTGTCCTGCCAAGAACTCTCCTGCCCTGCCAGAATCCGCTCTTCCAACTTTGAGTTTTTAAAGCTCTCAGCTTCATTCCTTTCATAAATGAGCTCAACTACCTCACTCATTTTACAAGAGCTTTTAAAAGGACTGAAACATTGATTAAATATGAAGGAGAGGCTGCACCAACACTGGCACTCAAAATGTTTCGCGTACTTCCACAACTGCATGCAAGTCACAGCAAGTACTGAATTATGATTGCAGATAAGAATTAAACAACAGAGAAAAACTTCAAGGAACTTTTATCTTGTAGACCAGAGCAGAACAATCGTAGCTGAGCACCATTTTAGTCCGTTCTCCATCACCCGGCAGCTGTTGACGGGCACTGCCAGCCCAGCTGTGCCAAGTGACCGCCACTAGGTGGAGTGGCTTTGACAAACTCCCGGCTGAGCCGTCTGCAGCGGCAGCGTCCAACTTCCTTCGGCCCTTTTTCCCTGCCCACTCTACCAGGGATCAAACACACGAGGTGTTGTTAAACACCACCTGAAGGTTGGAGACACAAAGTTGTAAGGCTCTGCCTTCAAAGCGAAAGAATTAGTGAAGAATTGAAGGGGCAAGCCTTACTAGTGCCCTCCATTGTGTGGTTACATATAGCCCTAAAAGATGCTTGGATATCAGAATGTAAATACACTAAAGGTAAAATAAAAAATATATAGTACATAAGAGGCTGGTAACCCATCATCAAGGACAACAGGGGGAATTATACCTCCTCTGGACTTCTTGCTGGTTCACAAGACCAGTTCACTTGGGGAACAAGAACATGACTTCATTAAAATGCTATTACTTATCTTCTCCTGCTGTTCAGGAGAGCTGGAAAGTTTTTATCATTGTCTACAAAAAGAGCTGAATTTGTTACAATTTTCAAAACAAGATGATTGATAAAGCAATTTTAATAGCCTGAATAGAAGGAGTGAGTATTTATTCTCTTCCCCAGAAGTAATTATGAGCAATACAATGATGATACTCATAGCTGCAAAAATGTTGACATTGCAAGAAAAGGAATCAAAACAAGAAAGGGGAATCCACAATCAAAGCTTTTTGGCTTCCATTTTAGAAAATATTTTGATCTCCATGTCTATACATTTATTCTATGATAATCATACTTAATTAAGAACAGGCTAAAGGACAAGTAGGAAGAATTCTATCAATTTCTGAATGCATAAAAATATACAAATGCACATTCTTTGTTTATACCTTATAAGGTTCTAAGACATTCAGAGATAGGCATCATCTTCTGATAAGTTTGCAGAGTGCCCAATAAGTGGGACTTCTCCCAAACTGGGTCCACAAAGTAGTACCACAGGAGAAACAGCAATAATTTACACTCATATGCAGTCAGCTGTAAAACTGCGAGAGAAATGAGATCTACCATGGTAACTGTTGGCCTCTAGAATTAGAACTGTCCTATAAAATGAAAATTTATATGGCTAATAATTACCTTATCCCATATGGCGATGGACAATACAGCTTCGAGGACAGAACAAGGTTTCCAAGCCTTAGAGAAAGAAATGTGCAGACTGAGAAATGGCACTCTCAGACTCAGTAACACCAAGCAAGGAAAAAACACATGCTGAGAAGAATGCGAAGGCAATGCTACCCCTATCCTATTTACTGGTTTACTACTCCATCTCCAAAACTGTGCTACTCCTAGCTAAAAATGGCAAATATGCTGTCACTCCTAATTCAGGAAAACTTGCATTCATTTCAGTCAGAATTTTCTCTGTGTGAGGGATCGGGAAGGAGCACAGACACTAGGAGAGGAGCAAATTAGGGATGTTATCTTCTAGATAACAGCAAGGCACTATCAGCTATGGGGTAAACTAGGGCATGCAAGTAATGAACCCAATTTTGTTCTTATGTAACACGATCATATCTTTGGCAAGCTGAACCTTAATTAGCAAGAAGGCACATGTACATGGTTATTTGTGTTAATTAACATACCGTTTGCACACTAGCAGGATAAGGGCTGCACTGTTCCAATTTGTGGGCAAATAGCTCCTATGTGACACCCCCCAGCATCCAGCAGCTGACAACCTGAACAAAAACAAAACAAGGGGGAAAACAGGGTGTTAATCAGTGATGGACAATACTTTTAAAGGAATAGTATTATTTCCTCCGTCCAAAGTTGGCAATATGTGTGCCAGTTTCAGCACAGGTGATTTGCAGGTACAGAGAAAAGGAGGCTGCACCTCACATCCCAAACAGCCAGAGCATATACATGTGTCTAATATCAGAGGTTCAAAAAGCAAGGCTGAAGTCCTGCTCCTTCTGGTATGGGAGAAGGACAAAACTTTGCTCTCTGTGAGCCAGGTGAGCGTGCTGGCAACCTCTACATCCTGCTGCCCATCTCTGAACTGCTCGAGTTGTTCCATGTTGGATTGAGAGCTAAACATCCAGAAATAAAGACACCAAGTGATATTCCAAGAGGCAGGGTGCATGCCTGATGAGAAGCTTAGCTTGAAGCCCTTCCTCTGAATTAAGCAAATCAAGGATGCACCTCCTGCATCCCACAGAGATGCAGAGGAGGAAGTGTGGGGGCAGCTGCCCTGTCTGTCTGTGAAAAATCTCTAGAACTCCTGAGGTCACCCAAAACTCCTCAGCCTGTAAAACACAACCCCTTATACAACACATTTCCCACCTAGTTATAGACAAGATGAAGTACTGAAGTCACAAACCAGCCAAGGGGACCATCAGGGTAATATTTACAGGAAACTAGAGCTACCTGCTCTGCCCAGCTTTTGGGAGAAGGGATGGAAGGCAGAGGTGGCTATTGTAAAATTCTAGATTTAAACACCTTTCACAGTTTACTTCATATTGTCTTAATTTCATCTAAAGATAGAATTTTGAAAGAGGATGAGAAATCTTGCTGAAGTATGAAAGACTCAGATGAAAGGAAACAGTGAAGCAATCATGACCTTGTTACTTGCTTAAAATCAGAGTTTAAGGACTGGTTTCCCAATAAAGGACTTTCTATTCTTCTTTTCCAATGAAGAAGAATGGACAGATAATATGAAAAGTTTGATACAATACCGTGGTACTTGAAGAAAATGGAAGAGAACTGGAATGGAAACTGGTTAATTTTGAACTCTCAAAGTTTATCACAAAGGAGTTCATCTCGGATTTTAAAATTCCAACAGAAATCCTCTCATTTCCAGCCTTTTCTCTATCCATTCTCTAATTTCAAATGGTGCAGGCACTTATTGCTGACATAAATGTTAAATGGAGACAGAGCAGCCCAGCCAGGTGCAAAAGAGATAAGGGGTTAACACTCAATCTCCTGGAAGTACCTAGAAGAAATGGCAGCTTAGTACATGTGTAGTTTAAGGGAGAGAAGTAATTTGAAACAACAGAGCAGGACATAAAAGACCAGGCTCCATTGGATGCTAAATGCTAAAGGTCTCCAGAAGAATGTAATGTCTAGAAGATCAAACCGGAGAAAAACCACATTTATTGGGAAGAAAAGAGAGAGAGAGGGAGAGAACCACTCCTAGAAAATAGTTTCCATCCAATGACCAGAACAGAACACAGAAGGTCACAAATTTGTTGCAGCAGAAGATATTAAAGAACTTTATTAAAAGAGTAAGGTTTAGAGACAGAAAAATAGCAAAAACATCAGGCTCCAGGGAGAATTCTCATAAACTGCATAGAGTATATGCCTGTCTTCTCATCCCCCCTCAACAAACTGGCTATAACAAGTTTTAATTAAAGAAATCATGAGATAGCAAGGAGATGCCAAGAGCAATGGTAATGGGGTTTAAGTCATTGGTGTGGTAAGGATTGCTAGGAGAGAGGAAAGATAACTACTGTCCTTATACTGGGAATAAGACGTCTCCAGGCAAGACAGGAGCAAAGTGGAGAAAGGTAAGAAAGGAAGACCCAAGTGGAAGTGCCTCAGTGAGGCAGCGATACAGATTTTAGAGAAAGGGAAGAATTGCCTTTGTGATGGGCTGGAGGAAAGCAGATTTTAGAGAAAGAGAAGAATTGCCTTTGTGACGGGCTGGAGGAAAGCAGATCAGGTGGAGAAGAAAATTCACGAGAGAAAACCTCCCTCCTCTTCTGATCTGTGCGAACTTCAGAGACACCTCCGTAAGCTGAAAGATAAAGCTAGTGGGATTTTTCAGATCTCACCATAAAGAAAGAACAGATCCACTGCTCACTCTGCAGGCAATGACTTGCTCTTTTGAAAGTCCATTTTTGATCTGTATTCAAATGATGAAGAAAGATGCAAAGGGCTCTGAGAAGCCATCCTTGGTAAGGTCAGAGAAAAGGACAGCATTATACACGCTGACAGTTGGGACCAGGCTGGGGACACTCAGGAGAAGTTAGCTGAGCAAATCTGGCCAGGAACATTAACAAAAATCAAACTGCTTAAGGAAAATGACATACAGGATATGGACTTCAAAGGTGGAAAGGAAGAGAGTGCTCAAATGGAGCCACTGAGTGACCCATACGATGGAAAAACACGCCAAAAAAAAAGAAAAACAGGTTCAGAGTCAACGACAAATGTTAGTGAACAGAAGGCCAGCAACACATTGCAAAGCAACATCCCTTCTAACTCAGTCTTCAAGAGTCTGCCTCTCCTGCAGACTTTTTTTAGGCCATCAAGTACTGGCAATGCTGAGAAGCTAGGACAAATAGGCTTTTGGCAACTGCCATGTCCCGTGCCACCAGCATTAGCAAAGGACAAAAATACACACTCCCAATTAAAAAATGAAAACCATTTTTTCATTTCTGGAGATGTCTGGCCTTTCCTAAGATTTAAACAAGCTCAGATAACTGTCTTCATAGTTACATTCACAATATAATGATATTCAAATATACTGCCTTCACACACACAAATAACTTGTGAAATTATTTGCCAGCATATTAAGCCACTACGCCAGATTGCTTGGCAATGGTGTATGTCTTTGAAATATGCAGATGCTTTTCTTTTCTTAAAAAAAGGAGAGAGGGAGGGAAGAGGAGAAATGAAAAAGAATTACAGTAGAATTTGATATCCAAGTAGCAGAACAACAAATTGTGGGGAGACTCCAACCAATATTACATCAGACTTGGAAAAATAGCTAAAATATACTGAGGGATGAGTTATGACTTTATATATATAGGTATACTCCTATGCATAAACTTACAAATAGACATAAACAAAAAAATCACATGCCTAGAGGAAGAAGTCTCACAAACCCTGCAGTATGTCATGCATAAACCTAAATTTCAAGTGCTAGAGTACATGCAGACAAGTGTAGGTACTAAAAATATAGGCAAGATGATTGCTGAACATCCTTCTGAATCCCCTTATACACAGCTTTTTTGGCTAAAAGCAAGAATCTAAATATATCAATCACTGAGATCCTGCAAAAGTTATTTTGCATGTATGTATATATATGTCACCTAACATCCCAAGCATGTACATAGTCTGGACTTCAGAGCTGCATTCCTTAAAACAGAGGCACAACTGACTAAGAGCAGCAATTTCTGAGAGCATGTTTCACATCCTCAGGAGAACAGGAAGGGGGGAGCCCCTCAAGATCCTAAACATAAACTTTGAAATGTTTATTAAAATGCAGAAAGATGGAAACTACTCCAGTGAGGGCTGAAAGGGAATTGACAGTACAGACCTGCTTCTGCTCAGCACTTTGTAGTGAGTAAACACATCTTTCTTAAGAATACATAATTGCCATAAAAGAGGTTAACAAAGGATGAGGCACTATTTGATGCCATCTAGCCTCAATCTACACAAACAATGCAACATCTGAATTGTAGAGAACATCCACTTTCACCAACAGTCCAGCCAAGGTATAAGAAGCGAACATCACATTGTCATACACTGTAATGAAATACCTATTTTGTCGGTAATTTGGATGTGGTCAGTTTCACCAAGAAAGGATGTTCCTACTGAAGAGAAGCAGAATCAAGCTTGGGGTGTGCACCACCATAATGCCCCTGCATGAGGCACAAATGGCAGAATAAAATGTGTTCCGACCTTATGTTGCAAACCCAATCATTTTTCACGGGCAACAATGGTACCTTCGGGAAAAAGGGGAAAAAAAAAGTTCTTTCTAACAAGAAATTGATTTATAAGTCCTTACAGCCATTTCAAAAGGACAGGTCATAGATGGTTTCAGCAGTCATTAACAAAGCCACACACTTTCAAAGGGTGTGAGTTTGGGGGGAAATCCTTATCCCACCAACAGTGATGGGATGTGCACTTTTGGCAGCAGTACAGTGTCAGCCTAGAAATGGAGACATACAGAGCAAGCAGCACTGAGAAGACAGGTTGTCACATTTTTAACTTTGCATTAGTAGCAAATGCTCTTGCTGTCTATTCTGGCACATTTGCAAGCTTGCTTTTAGGTACAAGGGACTTGCATGCATTTCCACTGTAGATAAGAAAACAAGAGCAGCCTTGTTATGATTAAAAGGGTCTATTTCCCTCTGCCTTCTGTCTTGTGTGTCCATCTGCATAGCTGCTTTGAACTTGGCCAAATCCCAGTTTAGGGTCGCCCACAGTATGAATTTTAAACCATCACCAGACTGCGAATTTGCTGCTAGAGAAGAGAAAAATCTCCACATTCTCACCTAAATGGTCAATGAGCGGTTTTGTAGAACATTCATCATGTTACATAGCCTAAACTATTTCAGAAATTGCAGCAAAAAAATAATTTACTGTTTCATGAGGACTGCCAAATAAAGACAAAATAGACATCTGGAAAGAAATTAATAACAATCACCATTGAGAAAAATGAATTCTGCAGATGCCTAGGTAGGTCACTAGATAGGTCACAAAGTTTGCATTTGAGAAGTTACAGTAATTTCTCTTTGAACCATGCAGAATTAGAGAAACTAGGAGAGCAGAAGAGAGTGCATGGGACCTGCAGCATCAAGAATGGCAATGTATTATAAAAATCTTGGGCAATACTAAATTAATACATGAGTTTTGATTCTTAGTCTCCTCACCTACCTCACCTCAACTCAATAAAAAAGAAAACCATGTCAGCTCTCCCTCTCTAGTGTGTAGCATTTTCAGCACCAAAATTCCCAGTGGGATGCAAGCATTTAGAGACAGCCACATTAAAGGCTGAAAGTCAAAAATGGCTTCAAAAAGAAAAAAATAAAGTTATTTCTTTCTAAACTTCTGCTGCCCAATCAAAAACTTGTAATAGGGGAAGTTAAAGAGAGGTTTGCACTGGCTAAGACCTGTCAGTCCTTCAACAGAGCATGAAAGCCTTTAACGGGGTCCTTTATGCAACTGAGCTCACATCATTCATCAAAGAACAACAGCCAGGATCAAAGGCATCCACCGGCTCATCCTCACAATACTGTAACCTGCTCCCACCTGCACCTTGAGTTTTATAGATATTTTGATTCCATTCCTGTGTGTTTAGGTACCACAGACTGGTCAATGAGCAAAATTCTCAGCAAATAAGTCAATTTCTTTACCTAGCCAACTTTTTTTTTTTTCCTTTCTGGCAATGGGTGCCTGCTGGCTCAGTCAAACAATTATTGTTTTTATGAATTCTGCTTTAAAATGGTTTTATTCAAATGGTTCTGCCTCTTATTCCAACGACCAACAGATAATAAAGCAAAGCTGTTACTCGTTGCTACAAAACTAATTTTAACCTCAAGCAAATCAGGAATTACACATTCATCTTCTGAACTGTTTAAAGATGTTACGTTCATTTCTTTTATGACTGATTTAATAAACTCTGCCTGCATAATAAATATTCCTACTATAGTCACAGGGTGTTTTTCTCTTCTTGAGAAGGAAAAACACATGCTGGTGGTTGATATGAGGTGTAACACAAAAATAATTAAGCACAGCCAAGTAATTTTAGCAATGCTGTACATTTTGTTATTAAACATCATATTTAGTAGCGCTCTGATTCTTCGCCTTAACAGCAATGCCACCCCCAGCAGAGAATGCCATATTCCTTTAAGAAAGGGTGAACAATAACAATGAAAACAACATGATGCATCTAAGAAAAAAGGAAAAAAAATTACTACACCTTTAGCAGGTTAAAAAAGCTACATTGTTTTTGTTTGTTTGTTTTTTTTTAAACCCTAGCAGGGACTCAGGGGGAATTTTGTTATCTGGCTGTATGTTATATATGAGCCTTTATCTTCTGAAAGAAAAAAAAAAAACATGTGCCGAAACTCTTAATGTTATAATTTGCTACCATAGAGAAAATAACAGTGATAACAATTTTAGAGAAAGAAGGAAAACTATGGACTTCATCTTCTGACACCATTTTACTTAATCAAACTGCAATCACAGTAATGAGCTCTCTCCTACCAAAGGCTCGGTACATACCTCATCCAGGAGTATTCTCAATGGAGATTTGCAGACGTCTTTGAGACAAAAAGATGCCCATTTGAAATAAGCCCATCTGGTTACTCAAAATTATTTCTCAACAGATGAAGATTTCACATGACAAACGCTGCGTGAAGTTTAAAAGGCTCACTCTTTTTCAGCTCCTTCCCCCCCCAGACTTCCAAATTTCAGACAAAAACAAACCAAGCAACCAACCAACAAACCCTACTGATATTCTGAGGGTGCTGAACGACTAAGTGACATTTTTTAACGGAACATCACTGCGCGCAAAATTGCGAACCGCCTTTTATTTCGGTCACAGCCTCACAGAGAGAGTTTTGAGAGGAAAAGTGCACAGGAAAGCCGGGCTGAATGCTACCCGCTGTAAATCACCAGTGGGTCAGGACGAGAGGAAAAACCTCCGGTGTCAGATAAGGTCCTGTGGGAGCCCGGGAGGCTACCGGCTCCGCGCACAGAAGAATAGACGCGTGTTAACCATAACGCCACCAGCCGCCCGCACCCCGCCCGCTGCAGGGCTCCCCTCGGCCGCCGGGTCCCGCTCCTCCGGCCGGGCTCGCGGAGCCACACTGCGCTCCCGGGACCGCCGGCTTGTCCCGGGTGCCCCCGGGCTACTCCGACTCGCCCGAGGCGGCGGCGCGGGGCCGTGCCCGGGGCGCAGGCGAGACCCGCGCGGTCCCCGGCTCCGCCGCAGCGTGGGTCGCGCTCGCCGCGGGACGCAGCGGCGGATCGCGGGGAGGGATGCTCCGCAGGCAGCCGCCTCCCCTCCGCCCGTCGGGGCAGGCGGTGTCATTCCCCGAAAAACCCTCTCCCACCCACGCCGCCAACAAACTTTGAGGAGGACGAAGGGTCCCCGGCCCCCGACCGGGGGGCACCCGCCGCCCTCCCCTGCCCCCCCGCCGCCCGCGCCGTCCTTACCCTCCGCACGGCACCGGCCGCGTTCCCCGCCCGCTCCGGCCGCGCCGACCCCCGGCAGGGAGCAGGAGCGCCGCCCCACCCGGGCACCCCGGCACTGGGGAGCGCCGAGGAGGCGGTGCCGGTGAGGGGAAGGAGGAGGTGGGAGACTTCTCCCCCCCGGCTGCCTCCCCTTCTTCGCTTCCCTCCCCTCGGCGCCTCCTCTCCGACCACCGCCGCCCTCGCTCGCCCGGCTCAGGCGGCACGCCGGGCTCCGCCGCCCTGCCGCCGCCGCCGCTCCATGTGCCGCCCGCCCGCCCCCTCCTCCGCCGCCTCCGCCCGCCGCCGCCTCGGCGCGGGGAGGCAGCGCGGGAGCCGCCGGGCGCCCGGCGTGGCTCCGGCACACGCCGCCGCTGCGTCCCCCCCGCCTTCCGCCCCGCTCCGGTCCCATTTATGAAGCCCGGCGCCCATCACGTGTCAGTGTGTGCCTTTTGTCCCGGCCCTGGCAGCACCGGGGCGGACAGGCGGCGCTGGCCAAAGTTCGCCCCGGGGGAGGGACATGGGAACACCGGGGAACACCGCGGGGGCGGGCGGCGGAGAGCGGCTCCGTTCCGGGCCGCGCCCCACCCCGCGCCCCGCGGGCCGTGGGCGCTGCCCGGCCGTGAGCCCCGTCCTGCCGGCGCTCCGCCGCCTGCCCCCGGCCGGGCGCGGGGAGCGGGCCCGGGGAGGCGGCGCGCCCGCCCCCAGCCAATGTGGAAGGCAGCGCCTCCTCCGGCCCGGGGGGGCGGACGGCGCATCCCCGCCACGGGGACCCGGCCCGGCCCCGCCGCCCGCACCGCGTGGGGACCGCGGGGACCGTGGGGATAGCGGAGACCGGCTCCGCTCTCGGCCCGGGGCCGCGGGGCTGGCGCACCCAGCGGGCTGCGGAGATTGGCGGCGGTGGCTGCCCTCGTGGGGCGTCCTTTCCCCGTCCCAGTATTTCCTGTGGAGCACCAGGGTTTTGACATACTTTATTTACCTTTTTCTCAATACCCGAATCCCGCCTTCGGTGTTTTCGGGCTTACACGACCACCGTCATGGCAGCCCTCAGAAGTGATGGAGATTCCCTCATCTCTGGGGGGCGAAATGTCTCCAAAGGTGGGCAGGCAATGGGCATAACTGGAAAGCTGAGCTTTATTCAGCAGCCAGTTCCTAAGCACTGTGATATCTAGCTAGCTTTGATCGTGTGTTTCTGCCTCTGCAGTGTCATACATATGTATTTGTCTTCACACGAATTAATACTGAAACATGATAAATATTTATCATTTGACATGGTGTCTAAAGACATTAACTGGTCCATCTACCATTTACCTGAACTGATACATCCACGTACACAGGAGGAATATATGATTCTCCTTGTTTATCAGGTTAAAAAAACACTCAGCTCTTCACAAGTGATGATTAAAGGTTTCCCATGGCTGTATTTTACAGGTGTCCAACTCAAGATGTGCCTGCTATCTCACAGTGACTCTTCCTCCTGAAGGCTTCTCAAGCTGGGCCCCCAAGGTCTGAGGCAACAAAATCTCCAGGCTCCATCCACCAAAGTGCATCTGCTCAAGAACACAGCATCATTCTCACAATCCAATGTTTTCCCTACATCGAGTCCCAGAGCGAGTCTGCAAGATCATAATTACTGACAATAATTTTTCAGCCGCTGGCTCTTTCTGATGGTAATCGTTAAATTAACAAGAAAGGAGATAATTTCAAATGGCACTCCCTGTGAGAAAAGTGGAAGGGAAAAAAAAGGCCAACTCATTTGTGCCCAGCTTGAGTTTCTGGTATTAGTCCGTCTGTTTGGTCATTCGGAAGCGGTGGAAAGTAAAAAGAACTTTATTTAGGACTGTGTTAAATCAGATCAGATTTCTCTTTAGCTATGCATTTCAGAAAGTACTAACTTCTCAGAGGACTTTTTATTTCATTGAAAATGTTGAGTAGTTTTGCTTTCAATGTGAGCCTACCCAGTTAAACTTCTCTTCCATGTTTGTGGAGGGACATATCCCCTTTGCAAGTCACATCAAGTGGACATTACCAGACCAAAATCAGCCTGTTGAGGGAATTTAAGGGCATGTTCACTGTTCATCCTACCTCCACATTCTTGGCTTGCTCAAGATTCCCATCCTGGACTGAGCATTACTCCAGTCTCGGGATAATCCTTCTTTGCATCACTTCTCAGCCTGTATTGTAGAGAAGGGCATTGCAGAGTTGAACATGTAGCCATGGCTGAGGGGTTTTCCCTCTGTGCAGTCCTGCACAGTTGCTACTGCCTGTTCAGCCTACAAGTTCAACAGGAGACTAGAGGTATGGGCAGCCAGAAGTTACTCAAGCAGCAGGGTCTCAACCTTCATAACCATGGGGCACCCTGGGACCCCTAAAGCCTTGTATGCCCCTCTTCCAGGATCCTGCTTGTAAATTAGCAGTTTTGCAAAGGCAAGGTTGTTGCAATCTTGTGACACCTGTTCCCAGTGGAGCTGCTTTGAAAACCTTTGAAAAAGTGGCTTTCCGCTGGAAAATGCAACCTTGTCAAAACTGAAATGCTTTGCAAACTTGTGTTGGTTGCACTGAAAATGTCATTTAAAAAAGAGTAAGTGGTAGAGGGATGTTCCAACAGTGTGGGAATGTCTCGTTGTGACATTTCCAAGCTAAACGTTTCAGTTTCTTGCTTCAAAATGAGTTTTGGTTTCAAAATATTTCCTTTTATATTATATATTGCAAAATAATACAAAAATTTGGAAAGCTTATTCCCATCAACCAATCACTTATTACCATAAACCTGAAATTAGTGTTCTCCACAGCTTTCTTGAGGTAAGAATTCTGCTATTCTTGGTTGGAGCAAAATTTTAAACTGCAAACACCTAGTGAAACTAGAGTATCTGAGTTTTGCTGGCCTCTCAACCACATGATGGAATTCTAGAACTCAGCTGCCTTTTAAAGTGCATGATTGACCACTCCAGGTACTATTTTCTCCTGATTCGGGCTGTCATAAAGTCAATTTTCTACCTAGCAGCTGGTACACTGCTGTGTTTTGGATTTAGTATGAGAATTGTGTTGATAACACAGTGATGTTTTCATTGTTCCAGTGCAGTGTTCACACTAAGTCAAGGAGTTTTTGGCTTCTCACCTGTGTGTAGATTGGGGGTAAAAGAAGCAGGGAGGACATGGAGCCAGGACAGCTGACCTGAACTGGCCAAAGGGATATTCCATACTGCCTGATGTCATGCTCATTTTGTGAAGTGGGGGAAAGCTGCCTGGGGTTACTGCTCAGAGATTGGCTGGGTATCAGTCAGCAGGTGGTCAGCAACTGCATTGTATATCACTGGGTTTGTGTACTCCAGTTGCATTGTTATTATTACTGCTGTTATTATTATGCATCACTTGTTTTGTAAATCCATTTCCCCCCTTAATTTTCTGTCCTGTTGAACTGTGTGTATCTCAACCCATGAATTTTGCTTTTTTTTCCCCAACTGTCTTCCCCATACTCTGGGGGCAGGGAGTAAGTGAGCAGCTGTGTGGTGCTTAGTTGCTGGCTGGGGTTAAACCGCAACATATTGCAACTGGGATTTCCTTCAGTTCTTATTTCAGGAAGAAGAGGCAAGGGGGTAACAGATGAGATAATCCAGCTGATCCTATGCTCTTTCTAAATCACAAATTCTTGCCTTCTCAGTCAGATTTTTTTTTGCAAATACTTGGATTTTATATTTTTATGAAAAATTAACTTTGCCAGTTCAGGAACGTTGTCCTTTATCTATTAAGCTTTTTATTTATCTATTTAGGTTGATCAGAGGTGCATTATGAGACCTTGATGATTTACTTTGGAAAAAATCTGTACAACAATCAGGTTAGATGCTTTGATTATTTCAGAAAAATCACTTGCTTCCTAGTTTTCTACATCCTGCAGCAACATGATTGATTTCAAGTTTTCTCCATAATTTCTTGTCAAGAGTGTTTCCTCCTGCTGCCTCAAATAAACTCAGAGGTCTTGGTCATTTTTCACTCTTCATCCATAGGTAGAGCCAACTATCAAACAAGACATAAATGATGCAGTTGGAAGTGTGCTCATGGAGGAAGCCAGTACACTGGTTTTTAACACTAATTCGGTGTCCACAGGCAGATTGATTTTCACAAGTTTTATGTGGCAGTTCCTTAAATCATTTTCAAACAAGAGAGAAGATTTGTTCTTATGTCCAGTTCTTAATTTAGAAGGCTGACTGCTTATCCTTAAGGCTCATCTTTATCTATCCATTTTAGGACACTTCTGCTATGATAGCAATGAGCACCATGGATGCTCATAGATCCTTTCCACCCCTTCTCAGGCATACACTCACCAGTCTTTGGAGAAAGTCAAGGAGGATCTTCACTAAAAGTACAGTTCTGCCCCTGCACACCTTGAGGACCACAACAGAAATTTTTTGGACAAGGAGAACGAAAGATTGAAAAACGAGACCTGAAACCTTGGCCATTTCCCAAGGCAGCCTTCTCTCCCTGAATCACAGAGCCTGAGGAACCAACAAGTTTGGTGCTGCAGCACAAACAAGTACTCCTATAGAAACATGATTTTTCAGTTTTTCTTCATTTTCTCTGAAAGCTGTTAAACAAGCAAGGTCAGTTTGGGACCCATCAAGTCCTGGTTCTCCTCCTTACTTGTTATGCGATGTTGGCCCCTTTATTTCCATGCTGTTGAACACCCACAGTTTTTACTGAGTTCAGGAAGAGCAACATGAGCTCAGCCCCTCGGGACCTAATGCTGTTTGTCTTTCTGCACATTTGCTGCCCCACTATGAAATGAGGATAATAATATCTTTTTCCTTCCTTCACTCTCAGGCTTTTCTGTTTAAAGTATAAGGTCATCTAAGTGAGAACTGCCTGTTACTAGTGGTTTGTGAACACCTATCACAACAAAGTCATAATCCTGTCTGTGACCTGCAGGCACTAACACATTGCAAATAATAACAATAAAAACCCAATCAGAAATTTCATTGTCCAGGAGCAGCTTTCCTGCCATCCAGCAAATAAAAAAAAACAGTCCAGGAAATTACAGAACCCATGAAAGTGAGTGGGTTACCCGGAGCCTTTGTTAATTGTCCAGCTCCATATTTAGTCAAATGTTGGTCTTTTTTGAAAGGGTTGAGCTGCCAGGGACAGTTGCTGTTTGTGTCGCTGGTGAGGCTCAGCAGTGTCCTTGTTATGGGCTGTACCCACAGAACACTTTAG